TTACGGTACAGAAATTCAGAATCGGAAATGAAACTGAATGGTATCTAAATTTCCACGAAATAATTCCAATGAACGAAGAAACCCCACACATAGTGGTCGTGTCAACACAGCCAAAAATAACCGACTGGAGGCCGCTATCTGTGAAGAACCCAACAAAATTTCATCAAGATCTACATAATGAATTGCACAAACACCCGAAGATAATCGCAAACAATATGATAGGCACGAGTCGATCCATGCTATAATGCTGAAGGGTACCAGTTGCAACTTAATATAGGAAGCGAAGCCTACCTAGATGTTCACATAGGATGTCTGCTTAGCTCGACTGCATGCGGAGTCAGGGCACGGGTGGACATGAGGGAGATCGAGATTCAGTCGATGTGAACCAATCAGTCAGGGCAAGTGTGAATGACCGGGTGTCGTATGTTTGCACAATCGCTCTCCGAGGGGTTGGCTGATACGCCAGTATTATGAGAAACGTGATGGTGTGGATCTCTTTATATACAGTGTGGCTTTATCCGCTGAAGCAAGCAACTGGTGTCGCCGGTATGCAATCCTCTGGGGCTTTCCATAAAATCCGGTAAATACTCGGAACACTGGCAACAGGCCTACGTTGGAGTTCTCCAACCATCCCTCAAAGCACTAATTAACCGCTCCTTGTTGTGATGAGACCAGGTGCATATGTTGGTGCCAATCGGATACACGCCTTTTTCACCTATTTGAACTCGTTGTGCGATCACAGTTGAAATCTCGATTTTACCCATTTCAACATCTTGGATTTAGTCCTTCTCTCTTAATAGAATCATTCCAAATTACTGGCGCTTGGAGCAGAAAATCGCTGTTAGCGCAGGTAGCCGCATCTTCCAATAAATAAATAAATAAATAAATAAATATATATATATATATATATATATATATATATATATATATATGGTTGGCTGCATCCGGTTTCGGATTTGCCTGTCACTGTGGTCAGCCACAGGACGCCTGCGCCTACAGAGGGACCATGGGTGGCTTGCGCTGCACCACCCACAGCTTCAACCACATACCCCATATCAAGTGTAAATCCGAAGGAATAACACCGCGAGGCATGTGGATGGGAGCCATGTTTCAGCAACGGAGCCGGCCCACACTCTTTCACAAGCACGCTGTATTTGGGAATCAAGCGCACACAAGGCGGTGGATGGACTGTAGTCCGCTCCACACTGAGTGCATGGAACCACTCTTCGAGCCTAGCACGACCACAACGACCATGCACGCCGTCCCCTCAAGCAACGACCAACTATCTCCTAGGGACAGTATGGACGAGGTAGTGAGTAATAGACAGGTAGGCACCTTGTCAACTTGCACATCAAGCGCAGCCACATTGGGGATGTCAAACAATAGGAAATCACTTTAAATGACAGTAACAAATAAAATAGATGTTAGAGAATACGGCTATGCAGACATAACTCTCCCCTAAATTAGCATATGAAGTATGCTGGTTAGCAACGAATCCGCGATAAGTAAATAATGTCCAGAAGTGACTCAGAAACTGCTACAAACGCAAAGAAGTTAATGAAGATAAGCACAATTACCGTAAGCAACGTGGAAATTTAATAGAAGATTATTCCGGTAGGCAGAACAAATCAAATGAAGTGGAAGGAAATTTATCCAGCTTAAAAAGAGACTTAGTTTAAGTGTAAGTTGGTTTAACCCAACAGCGGTGAAGAAGCATCATGAATGCAACATTAGCCTCAGCACGGGGCACATATATATATATATATATATATATATATACAACACCTTACAAATTACAATACAACTAGCTGAGTAACACAACAGAAGAGGGAAAACATAGATTAGAGCGGGAAAAAGTGTTAGAGTAGAAGAGTCTCACAGCAAGTGTGCCATTGCGTACGGTCCTTGGCCATATCCTCCAGCATTTGCAATCAGGTGTGCTTCGGGTCCTTTGGTCCCCAACCCGGGAGTCGGGAACGCCCGACAACAGCCGGCTTCTTCGTTTGCGCCTTAGCACATTCGATCCAAGTTTTACATTGCTTTCATCCCACGCCTGTGTTCGCAAATAAGGCTCGCCGTGGTAGCCGTCGGGTAGGCAAGCGATGCACATGCCCAAGTCAGCGAAGCCTCCGCAGTGAAATGATGTTATCAATCGGTCGGCGGAGTTCATTAGATCTGAAGACTCGCCAACGTACTTCCTCATTACTGATGTGATGCTGCCATCGAACACCAGCAATGCTTCGCAGGCAGCGGTGATCGAAGACAGATAGCCACTGAACATCACTTTTGCGAACGGACAGTCTCACAGCTGTACAGCGGAATCGCTCGTACCGTAGAACTATAGGCTCGTCCCTTTAGAGCGAGGCTCAGGTCACGACGAAGCCACAGGTGATGAAAGTTAGTGAAAGCGACTCTAGCCTTGGAGACATGCAGAGATCTCATCTGTCAAACCGCCAATACTAAGACAATTCCCAAGATAAATGAATTTGTCGACCACCTCCACGGATGCCCCGGAAGAGTGAGAGAAGGAGATGCAGTTGGCCAGTCCTGTAATAGGACCTTACATTTGGAAGGGGTAAAGGTCAATCCGAATTGGGAGGCGGAAATCTCCAGTCTGAACAGCACATGCTGGGCGGCTTGGGAAGACTAGCAAATCATAGCGATGTCATCGGCGTACTCTAAGTCCCGAAGGCGGTCACGAGGAAGCAGTTCAACATCGCAGAACTCAGATTTCCAGAGCAGTATACAGAATCTCATCCATGGCGAAGTAGAACAAGTGGAGAGGCTGGGCAACCCTGTCTAACACTGCTACTTATACTGAAAGGGGACGAAATGTCTCCGTATACCCGCACGCGGCCCGAAGTTTGATGGTAAATGGTACGGAGAATGCTGATGTACTTCTCAAGTGCTCCCCTCTTAAGTAAGCAGTCCCAAAGATCCACCGTCAAAAGCGGTTCGAATGTCCAAGAATATGACTATAGTTGGTCCACTGAACGTATAGCGATGTTAAAGTATCTGGCGGATCGTAAAGACGTGATCAACGCAACTGCGACCCGGGCGAAATCCAACTTGTTGTTCACGCAGGTGCTGTTCACATAGAGATGCACATGTTGACGTATGGCTAATCTAGTGGCGCGACTACCATGCCATATGAGGTGATACATATCAAAGGTGTCAAAACAAACCGTCGAAAAGAAACAGCTTTTCCTGACTCTTCTATTCAAAGGAAATAGTGCGGCTGAGATATGCACACGTCGACAATAGCAAAGCTGCAAAAAGACCTTCAATGCGGTTCAATTGAGGGTGGTTTTCACGAGCAGACCTTTAACAGTTTTAAGACCCAAAGACCGAGTGCCTGATCATCTCCAAACAATGTTAATCTGCCGTTTCACCCGCGCTTGTGGGGCCAGGTATGCTGAATGTAGGATCAGACAAGAGAACCAAGAAACACCTCCCATGTCGGCTAGACGATCGCGAAAATAGGACAAACTACAGCGCGATTACGAAGCATCTAATCATCACGGGACACCAGATAAACAAACAAACTCCTTTTCAGATTCTCTGCAGAATATCGCCAACGCATAACCATCGAGTAAGAGCAAGCCTACTTGCTGCCGCTGAGGTAATATGCATACGCCTGACAAACCCGGACGTGTGTGTCCAGAAGAAGATGGTACAAACACTGCAACTTCCATAACCGACCAACAGACGGGAAGGAAGTGATGGCACTCCGCACATCCACCTGACTTCAATCATGTGATCAGATGACTGCCATCATGATCAAAGTCAAATTATGTGATCAGCCGTTTGGTTGTTATGTTGACAGTTGCAACCGACCTTACCCTAATGTATAAGTCTGACGAAGAAGTAATCGAAAACAATTATTCGCTTAAAGCTTTGGGTTTGGTTTTTCTTTCTGAACGTGACGTAATAAATGGGTGTTCTGCAAGTTGAAATAAATTTCAGTTTACTGCGCGACAGCTGGCCACTTCGACATCCCGCTGTTTTGATATCAGGCTCGTGAGCCAAAGGCTTTGGTTGTGAGACCTAATCGTTCTCCCACTTAGGTTTGGAAGCCCTGGCAGTAATCCAGTCAGCATATGATCGTGAATTCGTCATTAAAATTCAGTCACATGTTGCATCGGATGCCACGTAGTTGCAAGACGGTCGTCTTATCCGTTGTATGGAGCAGGACTCCTGCGAGGTGCGTTGACTGCGCGCCCGGGGTCCGGATGAAAGAGAAGGAGGGCAGACCAAGCAATGACTTGGTCAAGAGGAATGAAAACCCGCACTTCGAAGTTGCCGTCGGTTGGTGCATCCGACTGTCGGGTGGGGTGCGAAGGACGAGTAACACAGTTGATTGGACACACTCGCTGACATGGCTAGGAGCCGGCCCCAGTGGCGTTTGTGGTATGAATTTCTTTGCCCATCTTCCTCTCACTTAGATTCCTCTCCAATCCCGATTACATTATAAGTTAATAACGTGACAGCATTAGATTACTTGATTTTCTGAATTTTTTGTAGCGGATCCTTTTTGTATTGGGGCACATTAGCTGAGGTGTGTTTCTCACCCGCAGCTATCGTGTATTAATGATGATAAGAATGGGCGAATTTAAGAAACAAAATGTTCGTCTTAGGTGACATGAACGATCCGTAAAAAGATAAGGAGTTGGAATGCTATCTGTAACTCCAATGTATGACGATTTCACTTATCGGAAATCGGTCATCGTTGTGGACTAGGTAGGGTTATGAAGTGATGAGGAGAGGCCGTAATCATGATCAACACATCGGTCCTTACGTCCCACAGTGTATAGGAAAGCATTCCAAAGAAAAATGAAATAGTTGGAGATGCACCCATAAACGATACGACGACCACCAGAATGAATGGTCCCCATCAGATAAGATGTAAAAATAAAGTGTGGATAATGTGATTAGCAGCAGCAAAAGCGTTTAGAAGAACAGTTGTAACTAGCTGTAGTAAGTGTACGCGAAAATCACACCTGGGAAAAATAAACAGCGCAATCCAAAATGCTTAGCCATCGTTTCACAACTCGTGGATTGGCAACTGGATCATCGTCGTCCGGTGGTCCCGTCACAGGAGGAGCGCCGTCAGGGGATTCGGATTTCGCCACTTTTCTGCCGGAAGCCCATCGTGAAAGCTGCGTCAGCTTTTCTGGTTGTTCTTCTGGACGTTGAAGACGTAGGAATCTATGATGGAAAAAGAGTATACAGATGATTCAATGACTAGCGCAATCGAGTGTGGAAAGTATGGTACAACAAGTTCACCCCATCTTTCATAATATATTGTGTCCAACAGATGAATTCGGCGGCCGCAACCTAGCTAGTTGACGAGCGGATCGAGTGACAGAATCGAAGTCAGCTGCACAGTAGTTGTTGGATGGCTCCCACGAAGGCAAGTTTGGCGGCGGTAGTTCTCAGCTGCCTATAAGCATCGAGTGATTACTAACTGCCAGTGGCACCAAAAACTGAACATAGACCATTTGCAAATACAGGTGCGAAATGCACTATCAATGCGAACGCACGCTCACTGCCGGAAGTTAGTGGCTGTTCTTATCAGTCCTCTAATACTAACGTGTCACCTGCAGGCCCCAGGGGCCACTTTACATAAACAGTGACCATCTTGAGGGCCGCCGTCCTTAAGGCCACAAGCTGCTTTTCGTACCGACAACGCCTAGGTTCTGTTGCGCGGTACCGGAAACCCCACTGCGTCCCGTACGTCCCGTAATCGTTGGTAGGGCCAGACATTATGATTTCATTCCACAGTCCGTGTCATCGTCGAGCCAAATGATCATAATCCTAGTCGAACCAATGTGGACTCACTGGTCCAACTTTCTAATATTTGAAGATCACAAATTGATTAAAACGCAATGGGAATTTCACGGTGGGTTACAGCAAACAAAGCAAGTCATTAGCAGTATGCCAGCACGTCGTATCGACGCTTCATTGACACGAGGCCACCACCAGTCGCAGATGGGCTAGGGGCATTGCAAGGTCGCCCGCACCTATGGCGATTCGAACTGGTGACTTTCGGATACCGAAGAAGGTACCCAATCCCTTCGGGCACCGCCAACCCCTAGAATGAGGGACCATGATGTTCAATAAATCAGGCCCATGCAGACCGAAATATCGTTGTCCGAGAAGGCGGTCAACATCAATACAACAGCAATGAAACGGTAACCAAGATAATGTCGAAAACACACGCTTAGAACTCTGCTAACAGAGTATTCGGATACATCTACATCATTGATCAGCACCATCAACAGAAGTACATAAGCCATTTGAACTGATGTTTCGCTGTCGCATAACCACATCGACGTACGAAAGAAAGAAGGTAGAGAAAAGTATTTATCGGAAAACCTTAACATCCCATCAAATTGGCATGCCTTTTGCACTTTCAAGGTGCAAATTGCTGTTACAGGACCATAAGGCACTAGATGACTCATTGATGGCGAGGAACTCGAGTCAGTTGACCAATTCAGCTATCTTGACAGCTGCATCGGCAAAGATGGTAAATATCCACTGAAGTCAGTCCAAGTATTTCATCAGCATCATCATCAACAGCAGTACATCGGCCATTTAAACTGATGCTACGCTGCCATACAACAATAACGAACTATGGAACGAAGAATACTAAGAGGGAGAGAAGGGGGCCTACCGGAAAACCTTATTGTCCTAAAGAAATATTCAGGGCCAGAGCGTCCACAACTCGTTAACAACATACCAACAAAAACAGATAGCTAACGCGTAAATATAAGGCGACATTGGCGAGACAGCCTCCTTGCGATTAACAGAAACCCGAGTCATAATCGGCCAATACCCCGCAGAAAACTCTCCATTAAGCACAATTTAGACAAGCAGTTCGACAAGGACACGGCAGCAGACGCACCACTGGTGCCGACTGCGAGCCATGTGGTATCGGGTCAAGCACAAAGCGAGTCACATGGACTCCAGTCTGGAAGGCGAGACAAACCGACGACCCCAAATTGGGTCGTCAGTGACTTCATTTCCCGCTGCCAAGTCAACTTCTGACAAGCTCGAGCCTTGCGCCACCATAAATTTGGCAGATAAAACAAAGCCATTCTCGGAAAGTGGTGACTGGGCATACGTTGCAGGTGCCAAAGCAAACGCAACTTATTCAGTGCCATCTGTTGTTATAACAAACTAGCTTAAGTATCAATGCTTAACACTCGCCTAGGAACATCATATCTGCGGATACGCAGGTGACACCCGGCACCAGAGAGCGATTATCAACGAGTTGTAAGCGCCGAAGAGTTTCAGACCGAAGCCACCAAGTCTCACTCCCATACAGTAGGACGGCCTTAACTGTGGCCTTGTAAACACGGTCTTTTAAACGGTGGAAAACCCCTATGATTACTTATGAATGGAAGGATTTTGGTGAGTATTTTTGTTCGTCGCAATCAGCCGACAATTCAGATATGTCGACCACCTATCCGGAAAAGCATCAGACGGCCGTTTCACCCTATTGGGGCTCATCAGTGGTGCGCATCCTTCGGTCTTCTGCGGAGGATCGAACCCATGACTGCTAGTGGCTCTTGCCAACTAGCCCGCAGCTTATGTAACTGCGCCATGATGGACGGTATCCGACTATCATGAATTGTTAGCTAAATGCGATATAGCCCGACGCATCCTCCAGTGCCATGCAGGCACCTGCCATACAGATGACAGCGGTCGGCCTTCCGGCGTCAGGACTTCCCGGTTACGGCAGCTATGAGTCGACATAGCATTTTGTGGAATTGGTATTACTTATGGATGGAAGGATTTTGGTGAGTAATTTTGTTCGTCGAAATCAGCCGACAATTCGGATATGTCGACCAGCTATCCGGAAAAGCACCAGACGGCCGTTTCGCCCTATTAGCTAAAAATTCATGATAGTCGGATACCGTCCTCCATGGCGCAGTTACATAAGCTGCGGGCTAGTTGGCAAGAGCCACTAGCAGTCATGGGTGCGATCCTCCGCAGAGGACCGAAGAATGCGCACCACTGATGAGCCCCAATAGGGCGAAACGGCCGTCTGGTGCTTTTCCGGATAGCTGGTCGACATATCTGAATTGTCGGCTGATTGCGACGAACAAAAATAATCCCTATGATTAGAACAGTCTGTGCGACCACCTTTCTGTATATTGCCAATATAATCGACTCACTCTAGTTAGCCGGGAAACCCACTTCCTTCCAGATTTGTTCGAATAGGAAGGTCAGTGACTTGCAGAGGACCTCAGCTCCATAATTAAATAGTGCAGGGGAGAGGGAATCCGGGCAAGCAGCAAGAAAACGATTAAGGGCGGTGATCGCGTCTCGGACCTCAGTCTCCGACGGAGCTTCTAAGCTAACCGGCCATGGTTCAGCCTGTATCACCCTTGCGAGGAGTAAGGGGCCAATGAAACTAATCTCGAAAGTGTTCCGTCCAACGAGCTATACGGTGCTCCGTATTGTGAATAATGGTACCCGCGTTGTCCATGATGGTTTCATTGACGCCTGATTTTTGGGAGCATTGTTGCACAAGAGATTTACTGAATACTGGCCAACATGTCAATAGTCCCGATGCATCCTTAAGCGTTGTCATGCGCAACCAAGGCCGAACTCTGCCAGTATCGAACGAGAGTGACGTGGATGTCAGTGATTCTGAAAGTAACGTTGTAGCTTGAAGCGCAGACAACCTCAATTGGGAAGCAGTCGACTCCATATGGGCATTTTTATTGAAAGCTTTCATCGCTGCGATTAGAGAAAATATGTGAAATGGTTGAGTCATCTCACCACCTACGTCTTCAGATATTCTGAGTTGGAGCTGGACGGAAGTATGGAAACTCACCAACTAGCGGTGCTCGTTTATGCTTTTCATGAGGAATTTAAAGCGCCTCTCCAAGCACATGTCAAAAACCTGTCTATATTGCAGATGCCAATGGAACGTCCCGGTTGCGTCCCAGGTAAGGCCATGGTCGACCAAGGAAATTAAATAGGACGCGAAAACTGGAGGCAAAGGAAGGTAGACATAGCGTAGCACTCCGATGAACACTCACCGACAACACTCCTGAACGAGTTCAGGGGGAAAGGAAGCGGTTCTGTTGAAAACAACAACGAATTTCAAAAACCGCCCCAATCCCGAAGGTGGGGACACCATCAAAACTTGAAAGAAAAGCTTCAAAATGCGAGTAACAGTGAAGATGGAGATGTGGGTAAACCAACGAAGACAACGTAGGAACTGTTAAAACTGAGGTGTAGTAATTCAGCTAGGTTGATAAACGGGGTACAGACAAAATCCTTGAAACTGAATGCTTTTCTCCCAGCTCTCAGGGGGGGAACCGATCTTATATATGAGCATCAAATAACATAAAGCCAAGAAAATACGTCCACTACGTTGCACGGTCGCAATGTATGAGCCCTCTTCCCATTTGCGAATTAGCACCTTGCCATCCTCGTGCATACCGACAAGCATAAACTCACTCCACCCGCATTTACCGGCCGTGTCTGATAGATATACAGTTGCAGGAATCCTTTTCTTGCTTTATCACCTAATTTAACAAGTAATTCTTGCAGATTCGTGGCCGAAACTCAAGCTCACACCGGCCAAACGGTTGGAGCACGTATCCCACCATTTATCCTTTCTTTCTCATATAAATGTCTAGTGGGCCATGAGCTATGCCATTAGGGGCCACTACAGAAGCGACGACGGGTCCTACAGAGAATTACGGCGAGCCTGCGCAGCGTTTGTAGGCACGCTGAATTCGATTTACTAACCGCGTGCTTGCATGCTAAGTCTCTTTATTTCAGGTGGTGGGTTTTCAATTTTGTCCCAATGCTTTGTTTTCTCATATAAATATCTCCCTGCACTCTATTCCATTAACTTGCACACATCGCCTAAGCCAATTGTATTCGATTTCCATAACATTTTTGCGTTCGTGGCATTCCGTGAACTATACTTCCTGACCTCGGGCACTTAGCTAGGATTTGTTTGTAAACAACTTATTACATATGCTATTTAATTAAAGTTTATATCACCGTTTCCTTATGCATTAATCGAGTTTTCCTCTTTTTCTTTCTCTCTTTCAAGTGCTTGGCTGTTGTTTGATATCCCCGGTGTGGCTGCGCTTGATGTGCATGTTGACAAAGTGCCTACCTGTCTATTACCCACTACTTCGTCCATACTGGCTCCAGGAGACAGTTGGTCGTTGCTGGAGGGGACAGGGTGCACGGTCCTTGTGGCCGTGTTAGGATCAAAGAGTGGTTCCATGCAGTCAGTGTGGAGCGGACTACGGTCCAACCACCACCTTGTGTGCGCTTGATTCCCAAATACAGTGTGCTTGTGTTTGCCTGTAAAGGAGTGTGGGCCGGCTCCGTTGATGAAACGTGGTTCCCATCCGCATGCCTCCCGGTCTTATTCCTTCGGGTTTACACTGGATATGGGGTGTGTGGTTGGAGCTGTGGGTGGTGCAGCGCAAGCCACCCATGGTCCCTCTGTAGGCGCAGGCGTCCTGTGGCTTGCCACAGTGACAGGCAAATCCGAAACCGGATGCCACCAACCATCCCTATTCGGAGGGGTATGATCATTACTAGTTAACAATCTGCAAATCATCTCAATCCGACTGACTTTGCGGTAGCCGTCGTCCAATGATCCAAACAGCACCGCGCAAATCGCGGCTGCCGACTGCTTCCTAACCCAAATAGAAATGATCGATACGTCCAAGGTCGCTAGCTACGTTCGCTTGTGCCGTGACACAAATTACTGTGAAGTCGTTTAGTCAGCTGGGTCACAGTCAGAAGGATGCAACTTCACGACCCCAGTCACATGATCTTTGGTTTCGAGGAATACGCACCAATGACGAGACCCAGAAATTCAAAACAGCTGTCTTGTGCTTTCGTAAACGTGTGGGAATCTACCTGAGGGGACTGCCACATACTACATCACCACAGCAAAATGACCCTTAAAATCAATACCTCTAGAATTGGTGGCAGTGATTAGCACCGACAGGCGTAACTGTGTGATCTATCAACAGTAGACTACGAGAAATCACCCAATGTTGGTTTTCATCGTGGTTTATATTGCCTCAGCGTTTGAGTTTGACCAGCGGCGAATCTGAGTTTCTATGGCTCAAGTAAAAACTCGCCGCACTCCGCAAGCTAAGGGTAGTGTGCCCTACAGGCTACTAACAACGCAAATAAAAGGAGGCTATAAAGGAAATGCGCATCTGGTCTTCCTCAAACGATGAGCTCATGTTGTAACCGATAGATAGATTGCGCACTTTGGAGGCAGAACCTGATGACATAAAAAGGTTAGCGTTTATTGAAGCCCTCGAAGTTCACCTGATTTCGCTAGATCATATCAATATTTTCCTGTGCGGGTGAGATAAGAAGGACTGAAGAAGGGCATGAGTGTTTCTTATGGGGTAAATCGTTGAGCCAGAAATGAATAAGATGCTCGAAAGTCATGAAAGATGTAAAAGGAAACACCCGAATCACACCCTGGCCAAACAATTACTTCCCATGTGTCCTGTACCAGCTGGCCCCACTGTGCCAGTTTAGTGAAGTAAACAAAAAGAAAATGAAAAGCAATGAAGGAAGGCCATTTGGATGAAGGAGAATACCAATTAGTGAAGAAAAAGATACAAAAGCGAAGTGTGAAGATGGATATGATCAGGAGAAGGGAAAAGTTTCATGTTGATACAGAAAACTGTCCAACTGAAGCTGCATATTTTGGGGAAGTGAGTTCCAGCGCTCGACGACTGCGTGATAACCGGCTTTTCCTCCTAATCCGGTCAGAGCGAAGCTTGTGCGGCTTCATGTGATGACTGCGGAGACCAGACAACATGAACGGACTCAACAGTCAAGACAAGTCCGACCCAATCTTCCTAGTTAAAATACGACAAGGACCAGGTCTCCGTGAAGTCCTCAGCAGTGCATTAGATGTATTCCCAAACTATGTAGGATCTCGGAGTACGCCTGTCCCCGTAACCCCATAACAAACCTAGTGACGAGTTGCAAAACTCTTTCGATTTCCATTTTGTCTCGGAACAGGCAGGGCGGGCAAGCCTGGAATCAATATTCCACATGAGATAGAACGAAAGCTGAAAACAGCTTCACAAAGATGTCGGTGGTTAAGACTCTGAAAGAACGGCGTATTAACCGCAACATACAGAAACCTTCACTTGCGGCATTCTTGCATTTGTCACCCGACTGCAAAGTAGAAGAGTGTACTACGTCTGGACTGACCTGATTGGAAAAAAGGGGAAGTTCGACCTCGATGAGCACGTATCTCGAAGGGGAGCAAGTTGCTCCAATATGAAGAACGGAACACGTTGCCCGATTAATGAGCATTGACCACAAAGTAGATAAGTCCCAGAGCCTATGCAGGGCATGCTGAGTGGCCTCAGGATCTCCAGGAATATTCTAGTTCCAAGTTACCCGCAAATAACCGATAGATTTCCAATCTCCCCATGAAGATCGTTAACATAGAGGGAAAACAACGGCGGTCCAAAGACCAAGCATTGTGAGACGAAGCTAAAAACAGCCTACGTAAATGACAGGCTGCGACTCATGCGTGTACACTGTTCCCTTCCCCCCCCCCCCCCTACCCCGTAAGAAGAGCCCAGGTTTTGTGATAGCCTCAAGTGGGTTATCGCGTCAAATGTTTTCGCAAAAACCACGAAAAGTACGTCCAGTACGTGGTAATTATCCACTGCATCAAGAACCACCAATAAAGTCGTCAGACACGGAAATCCCTTCCGGAATCCGTGTTGTGCATTGTTGAGTAGAGTAAATTTATTCAGTCGATCCCTAAACAAATCTCTCATCAGCTTCTCGGGAAGTTTGACTACTTCACTCATCCGAGTAACCGGCTTGAAATTAGCAGGCAGATTCTCGTCGATATTTTTGTTAATGGAACAGTTAATGCTTTATTCCATTCAGAAAGCAAAGTATAGCTGTCAAGTAACTTATAGAAAAAGGTTACTTAGTTCCGTCGCCAGCTCACTAGAAGCTTCGTATCCAGTTACTTTAGAAGAGTTAAGTTCATGTACCAGTCCAAGGGCTTGCGGTTCCACCCCACTAAAAGCAACCAGGCACGAACTCTCTGGGACTCTGGAAACCAACCCACTATCTGTCAATGCAGCCTCAAGTATAAAGACCTCTTCATACTATCCACGTTGTACACAAGTTCTGTCGAGATAAGCATACACATAAGTTTCATCGACCAATCTCAACGTTGAAATTGTCGAATTTGAACCGAAGCGCTTCTTGACATAAGCAAAGAACGTCTTCGGGAAACCGTTTTCGCACAATAGCGGAGTTTTCCTCAAGTGCTGCCTGCACCTATTTCTCCCCGCGCAATACCTATTGAAGCTGCTGGTTGACGGAGCCGCTTTATAGGCTCTGCAGCATTTAGACCGCTTCGTGAGCAGGTACCTGCCAGTGCTATCTAACCAAGAGAACTGTGCTCGTGTCTCCTTCTACCAGGACATGTCAGGAGCGGAGATTTCCGTGAGATAACACGACTGAAGCATGTTGCAGTTTTATAACCTGTTACATACACAAAAACCTGTTCCGAGCTGGCTACAGTCGAACTGTGCTGCAGCTTCATTTGAGAAATTCGCAACAAAGATTATACACCGGTTATGTTGAGAACCCAACACGGCGTAGACAAGTTGTGTGTTAGAGGAACTAGCTCTGAATGGTATAAAAGAAAGTAGAAAGCTCGGGTCCATTTGCGCACTTCCTTACGGATGCTGTTCTGATTCTCCGTCCTGCTGCGCACTATCAACCACGTAGCTGTGGTGATTGACATATGCACTACGCGCCCTTCTCCGATTTCCTCAGACCTGTTCGTTTTCCTGCATACCACTCATTAGTAGTGCATCTAGACGTACCAAGGGCTAGAATAAGCATGCGCTCCAATTTCTTCCGGGTCAGATACGTGCAATAAACTGCCAACTACACTCGGATCACACTAAAATAAGGACACATTTAGTGACAGACATGTCTTGGCCTTAATACCGTAATGACTACATTAACATGGGACAAATTCATCGATGACCTATTTCATGAGAAAGGAATAACGTCTCAACACCCACCTTTCCAAACCATGAATTTCGTCTCAGCCATACAGTAAATCACGAGTACATGAATCCCTTGCCTTCACTAATGCACATCTACTATGCAAGAGCATGGGTACTATGGCACATATTAATTGGTGCCGCTACAGACACAGTTCCGGAAATCATGGGAAAGATGTGTATTGTTAGTATTATTACTGAGAAATACTGCGTGCAGAATAGTGTTGTGCGGCTATTGCACTGAGTAACTTGTGTATATCCCAACACAATATCACAGACGTCGATGTATATTGCGGGAAAGCTCAGAGGCTGCCTCAGCCAATAGATCTTGGAACTGCGAATAGTGCAGCTGTGTGAAGTGTGGGTCGCAGGATTAGTTACATCAATAGACCCAGACTCCGGCAAACGAGGTGCTGCCAAAGAGCCAGACGGCGGTGTTTCTACACCCGATCAATTGCGCTCAAATGGGAGTACTTCGATCTGACAGTTATATCACTGTTTAAAACCAGTGTATGGCACGCACAGCGCGCGTGTGTGTACTACTGTATATTGGCTCATCTGTGGGCTCGTGAGCTGAAGGGCGTTACGCTCGCGTGCATCTTGCGCACTTCGTCGTGTAGTCTTATGCGCCATTTTCACAAATAACTATATTGTGGTACAACAGTGCGTTTTTAATTTTACTTGTCCAAGAATAAAGAATGCGTTTATGTAACATTCCCTTTTTCAAGAGGTTTGTTTCACGTTATTCCGCATTTTCCATTGCCGCGAAATAGTACACTAAGTTTTAGTGGACTGTCAAATAGAATCGCTACACTTCGCCGCTCAGATCAGGAGAATGAATAGTTAAACTGGACTGCGATGAAAGCAGGCATATGAATGAAGAAATATCCATCCAATCCGTTGGTGGAGAGGTGTTCCACAGAGCACCTAATTAAAACTTGCGGTGAAAAAGGTAGGTAGGAATCGTAAATGTTGCGCGAGGGGTTATCTGGTTGAGGAGCGCAAGGTCGAGTAAATGACGAAGAGTTAGGGATGGAGTGACATGTGGTAGCCAAACAAGAGACGATATGGTAGCGGGACGTACCGATTGCCTGAATGCGTTTCATGCTCCAGAAAGCGGATCGCTACACGCGCCGTAGCTGTAGTCTTCTTCAAGTAATCCAGATGAGAAATGACTGAAAAATAAAACGAGACTCCTCGATATCAACAAAAAAGGAAATTGAAGATGAAGACATGAAAGGAGTAGGAGAAAAATGAGGAGAAGCTTTGCTGAAAATAAGGTGAATTACGGTTGCAAGATTGCAATGATACGCTGTCAGCTCTTAGTATAAGCGAACAGTCACTGGAAGTTGTTGATCAGTTCATTTACCTAAGTGGTTCTCACCTCTGGTGGTCACAATCCTGAGATTACATCGCATAACTGTAAAGTCCCTGTGGTAGTTTTGTGACTCAAACACATTGAGACAGCAGGATATCAGCTTGTCAGTAAAAGGCAGGATGTATAAAGTTGCGATAAAATCGGTGCTACTGGCCATTTCTCACCGAGGTCATTAGGCATTCGACTGCCTATGATCACCAGTGTTTGCAGAGTACGGCTCACATCTCGTGGGAGCACTTGTCTGGCAGTTCATCCACATGTCACGGTTAGCTCGATATCAGACAAACCTCAACCTTGCTTCGGGACATAAATCTTTTTCGCCCACCCGGTCTTACGAGCGCGAACAATGCCCTTACACTTGAGCATTCCACCGATGGGTTTCTTTTCCCATTCCCTTATTTAACTTCTTCGCCTGTCATTTTTGATTTCCAATCCTTTGAAGTACTTACAGAAAACGTTTTTGTACACACTACATTTTCACTTATACTACTTAACGCAAGATCCATAGAGAACAAGTTGCATTTTGTAAGCATGCTTACTCAGCTGAGCCCTCCACATGTAATCCTCGTCATCGAAACATGGTGCTCCCTTGATACATTGGGTGCTACTTTAGATATTCCTAATTACTATCTATTTCGAAAAGATAGCAGTAAAAAACAGCGGCGGGTGCATCGTATATCTCCATCGGAACTTCAGAGCAGAGTTCACTGATCAGGCACCATTAAACAATGTCCCAGAATTGCTATGGCTATCAGTCGCTGCAGCCTCCTCCACAATATTTCTCGGTTGCATATACAACCCTCCGAAAGCGACAGCTAAAGATATCACAATTATCTCCTCGGATTTGAACTCGCATCAGTGTTACCTCACGGTCTAAAGATAATCGCTGGCGAATTCAATCTACCGAATATTAATTGGTCAACACAAACATCCACATCATTGCACAGATCTCTTATCGACAATCAGAGCTGGGGGTTGGACTCAGTGGGTTGTCAGACCAACTAGGTCTGCCAACATACTGGATTTAATCTTCACCCTGGGAACTCCTGACGCAGAAATTGACATCTTAGACAACCTGCCGGGTAGTGACCACAACGTGTTACACCTTTACATCCACTTGGAAAGGAATACCAAACTCGACTCACCTACCCAGCATACTATACGAAGGATTGACTGGGAGCAATTTAGAAAGCAGATCCGGTTCTCTAACTGGGATGGGTTTTCTCTCCCTTAGCACCCACATTGCAGTGGAACATTTCTAATAAGAGATCAACCACATCCTAACTGTACATGTCTCGCATAATAAACGTGCCATTCCTTGTCCTATGAATGCAAGCGACACTCTGAGTGACTTGAAAACGAGAAAACTACTCGGGAAATTAAGAAAAACTAGAGACTTATCACTAGTATTACAGCTGCACGAATCCACCGCCTGTAGCAAGCGCTCACAAATGAAACGGATTGAAAAGGAAGAGGAGAACGCCTTGCAGATGACAAGCAAAGAAAAGGAACTGGCCAAATTACTCCGTCATAGGACTAACAATCGAATATCTGATTACAGAAATTATTGATGAGGAGAGTCGCCACCTTAAGAACCCACCTGCCATTTGTGAAGCGTATAGCACTTTTTCGCTGCTTCCATGAACATAGAAACCAACCCTATACCTTGCTACCCGGAACTTACAACAAGCGGCATAGATAATGTCGAAATTGCTCTTTCTATCACCCAACAGCCTATGGAGTCCATCAAACCATCGCCCAAACCAGACTCCGACGACATCCCCCCATCAGTTATTAAACTTGGTGGACCTGACATACCACTGCTCTTGCTGAATATGTTCACCTTGTCCTTAGAGTCCAGCTACTTTCCGGACCAGTGGAAAAAATCGTTTCTCGTTTCTCGTCATAAAGGGGGGTCCAAACAGCACGTCACTAATTATCGACCTATCCATCATACTCCCGTCATCGCTAGCTTACTGGAAAAAGTAGTTAAAAGTGGAATCATGGACTACCATCCGCATGGGCTACGCAACAAATCCCAGCATGGGTTCTCGACAAACGTTCTTGTACAACGTGTCAGTTGCACTACCTGGATTACATCACAGAAGCCACTGATCCGAAATATGCAGTTATAACACTGTTCCTGGATATGCAGAAAGTATTCGACAGAGTGACCCACAAGCGGCTACTAAAAAGAATCGCCTCGTTTGGAATCAGAGACCCACTATTTGGTTGGTTGCATCATACCTAAATGGGCGTTTTTATACAGTCACTCTGGGTAATCATAGCCCCTCCCCACGTCCAATCACTAGTGGTGTCATTCAAGGGAGTGTACTTTGTCCTTCGCTTTTCCTACTTTATATTAACGATATCACAGTGTTCATAAAACATGGCAGGCCATTTTGTTCGCTGATGACATAAAGAATGTTTATAAATTTCGACGAGACGAACTCAATAGCGCAATCCTGTTCGTTCAAGAAGACCGATTCACTTGAGAAATGGTGCAACACATGGATGATAAATTTCTCAGCTAGTAAATCATGCATTATGTCACACGGCTGTTTAATCCCTGAAGAGTGCTAAACTGAACAATGAACGTATCTGTGTAAAACTATCAAACTGTGATCTAGGCATACGATACTCTCTAAAATTTAATTTCTCAGAGCAAGCTGAGTATCAAATCGCACATGCAAAACGATCTGTGACTGAAGTATGCCATAAAATCTACACAACCCCTGCCAGACTCGAGCTTTTCAAAATAATTACACTTCATGTCCTTCAATACTGCAGCATCATCAAAGGATACATGCGAATGGGGAACAGGAAAGCTTTGGAAAACCTTCAAAGATCATTTGCTGAGCGCTTGTTCAGTAAATCAACCAACTTGAGTTATCAGGAGCGCTGTCAGCAGCTTAAGCTAGAACCCCTTTGGTTGTGACGACTAAAACATAAACTGATGCTGATAAACAATCTTATAAACTAAAAGAAATACTCCAATCTGTGTACACTTAAAATTCAACACAATCTCACACGGAATATACGCAATAAGACCTGTACATTGTGTGCCGTGAACCAGGACAGCTATCCGATCAAACTTCTTCCTGTCGTGTGGAATAGACTAACAACCACAATCAAGTCTTGCACAAATGCAAGGACATTCCACTTTCAGCTTAGCAAATTCTTTGACCAGAACTCGATAATGACCATGTTTCCATCGGGTAAATTACCACAGTTCTTTCAGGATGGACCAAAGAATATATAATCAGTGATTAAAGATGGTACAAAGAACTCAGCAACAACAAAAGTTACGTGATTCCAAATTATTTTGATATCATACATATTTCACTCATGCATGAGCATGATAATTATTGTACCCATGATCTGTCCACAATCCAGGGACAGCTTCTCGCACAATCGGGAAATATACATATTGTTATTATTATAGTCTAAAGGCTGATTTTTGGCAATAAACCCTAAAGTGCCCCTTGAAGTAAAACTGTTTACGTTGGCCCGGTTATGCCTCCACAGGCTCATTGACCGCCTTCGTCTGTGCGCACTGCATGTCATCACAACACTTGGTTGGAGGAAACCGCGAGGTGGCTAGTCAATGAGGCGGCATAAAGTCATGAAAAAATTGACCGAAAACTTGGTCAGGCTATTGAGTGCTGTCCTTGTGGGTGGTGACTTTGAGATGTCACGCTAGTGGCAGTCGTGCAGTCATTGGCACTCAGTAGCTGTTAATAATACGGCCTAAATTAATTTTATGCATTTCCCCTTCATTTTCTTTGTGTTCTACATGATTTTCCAACCATTTTTACTATCATCATCCTGGCGACGAGCTCCGCCACCAATGGATCCATTGCATTTCCGTCTCCGAATCATAGTTGTCAAACTGAAGTAAGTTGAACTATACGGCGGATATCATGAATAACAACAAAGCAGTCAGTCAAACGAAGTCAGTTGGAAGATACCCCTATATGAAGGTCTAGAAAAAATGTACAAGTCACTAGTAACATTAGGGCAATGTACAGTTTACATGGTGTATTTGCAGTAAGGCTTCCCAATGTCTGAGCTCTTTAGCCTGGGGTATACCAACCAAGTTAACCAGTTGAAAAACGCTTTTGAAAATCTGTTGGTGTACAGTAAGCCCCAGGTTGAATCAGCCGTTGCATTGCAATTCAAAGTTTACTAAGGTCCGTGATCAATACAAGGATGGTAGCAGGTGTAATTCGAAGGACAAAGTGCCCGGTAACGAAGAGCAACTATAAGACATCGGCTGGAATGCGATGCGTACTAAAAGCAAAATCTGGGCTAGGGCATCCTGCCGCGGTCAATGAAAAAGTTGTGACGGTTGTAAAAAGAGACATAAAAAACATTGGCGGCACATCAACACGCTGTACCAACGCTTCGCGGCCACACAACCACTCCTAGTCAGTCCACTACATAAGCATCCATGTTGCCTTGACCTTATTTTAATCTGCCGGCTGATGTTTGCGCGGGATCGCTGAGCCAAAGGTGTAGCTGTTCCACTTTTGTTACTGCGAAAGACTTCGATATTCGGAGTGCGTGCACATGAAGGTAGAGTGGGCGACGGCACAAAACCATGTACGATAGTCAGACTAAATAGAAGTGCTGCGTTCCATGTGCAATAGTTGAATTGTAGTGCCTACGAACATCTGGCTAAAAACATGGTCAACCTATTTCAGTTAACCATTGTTCTTAACTCTCCTGACAGCATATGAGACTGTGGAGCACGCCTGTGTTTCAGGCTAGTTTCTGTCCGCATAGTGAACGTCAATATCACGGATGCTTAGTTTCCCGATTAATCAGCACGAATGCGATCTTTGCAGTTATGCAAAAGTTACCAACAGAATCCCTCACTACAAATACATAGAGAAGAGCAGATGGAGCAGCTCCTTCAGGTTTAAATCCATGTTTTGAGAATTGCAGTGATGAGCCAGATGTGCGCAGCCATCAACCAGAACCGTTAGTTGTCAACTCCAACATTCCCGAGCAGGCATCGATGTGACGGAACAGTAGTCCGAAAATGACGATCGAACCAATGATTCGGATGTCGTGCGTCGAGTAACTGGTTTAAGGCTTTCGTAACCCCGAAACCAGGTGTGAAGTATAATTCACGGAGCTGAATAGTAGTACTGACGATTCATGAAAGTTCACCTTTGTTTAAAATTTCACAATGTCACACATCTTCACTGTATGATTTGCACATTGACAGATGATGGGTCGTAACCGATAAGTATCCGAACGAACTAACTGATAGTCGCATTCATGTATATGTCTATATCACATTTCCGCCTTTTAATCATAATCTGAGCCCAAGTGTCTACAGCCAATTGCTTTACTGCGCTGTGTTTACGGAGTCTTAGTTACTGCTGCTGTTCGAACTTGACAGTATTTATTTTACATCCGTTTGCAAGTCTATTCGTCGAATCATAAGTATCTCTATTAGCCCAAGTCCAGCTGAGCCCTTCGATCAAAGTAACGTTCACAAGGGACGCAAAAGATTAAAGTCAAACAAAGCTCTCTCACCATTAGCTCACATCACCCATAAGATCTCTTTAACAAATGCCTCACTATGGGTGTGACAACAGACATCTGGAGATTGGCCAGAATAACCCCGGTGCCCAAAAATGGATCGCATAAGTATCGCCCAACTTCCTGCATATATGTACTGCCGAGTTTTCGAAAAGCTTCCAATTCCGCGGATCTTCAGTTACCACTAAGAACGAAATCTACCAGTTTGCATACAGACCCCAGTGCAATACATTGCATGCAGTAGGATACCTTGTTCATTCCAAAGCGTATGCACTAGGCCATAAATGTAAATCAGTACAGCATCTCTACATTGATTCCATCGCAACGAGACTGAAGCTTGACACAGTGTGATGATTTGTGTGCCTCAGCGACCCATTGGGCTATGCTGGGTGGTGCTTCTGCATATTCAAAGACACTCATACCAGATTGCCCAATGGATAGAGGCCAGACAAACTCAGTCTCCTGGCCGTCCAGGTTAGGGGCTTGAGTGCTCTGTAATGCTCTCTGTGGTCCAGTCCCAAAACACCGCCGTTTTGTGGTAAGGTTTTTGAACCGAAGGCTTTGGTTCAGAACTCTAATCGTTCTCCTGTCTAGGCCCGAGCAACCTGACAGTACCTTGCCCAAACAATACAACACTATGACTTTTCCTTCAATACGCTCTCGATGCTCTGTGCGTCTCAGAGGATAATCAACGGCGCCCTATCTACTGCATCGAGCAGGGAGGAGAGGTTTGGATGCTACTGTTTAGGCCTTCCCGTCTTCTTATTCCCCCTCTTGTGCTTTTGCAGTCTTGTCGTCCCGCTCCAACCTCACTTTTATCCTCCTATTTTAACCCACCAGTTCTTGTCTAATTTCAAGGCACACACAATCGCAGAGCGTCGCTCCAGTTCAATCGACAAATCCAAAGAAGCGGACAACGTCAGTTCATCCGTTTCATCTTGGGGTCGAAATAATTTGGAACACGGGTAGCCCGGGTTGGTTGCTCATCTGCTGATCGGTTCTCCAATCAACATGCGAGGTGGCAACGTCAGTGTGGCGATATGCAGTGTACAATGCTGCTTATTGAATCGTCAGTCCGTGATCGACGGGTAGGCGACTTTTGAAAGTTGCGATTTCGATATATGCCTCCTGATCTCTGTCTATTCTCTTCCGCGGCTAAACCATCTCTTTCTATTTGCAGGAGATCTTGCTTTCTGAGCTGATGGTACACGGCATCGATGTCGATGCGCGTACTGATCGAATTATTTGAGGTGTACCAAGCTTCTGGGAATTCTCTTCCTTGCTGTGTTGCTGCTTAAGCTAGGATCTCCGTTTTGTTCCAGTTGAAACTATGTCCCGCCTCAACCACATGGGCTGAGACAAGAGACGATGCACAATATTTTTATAAGCCCTCTGATGTTCTTGTATCCTTGTGGATAGTTTCCTCCATGTCTGTCTTGCATAGTTCAGTTTACAACTATTGAAATTTATTTTATACACAACGCTTGTTCGTTCTGGTGCTTTCCGGTTGTCCATTGGGTTTGACAGTATTCTTCTCCAAGCAGCGGTTGGCCTGTGAGCAACCACGATGCGGTGTTGTTTGAGCAATCTAGCAGTCGTTAAATATATGTTCTTCCTATACGGCAAAACGACCTACTTGCTTGCACTTGGTATCAGCTCGGTGTTTGTAGGTTTATGGTTTAGACATCTGTGGATGAAGCTGTGTGGGTATCCACTGCGCTCAAACATCCGTTCACAGGAAAGGGACACATAGGTGGACTCCGATCACGCTCTTGTGTGCGCCGAACTTCGAGCGCGTTTCAGTGGATGTCTGCAAAGTCGGTGTGAGCGCATACACACCAGCCAAATGTTCTGAATGCATATCAAAGTACGTTGGCATCCGGGTTGATTAAGTGCCCAGTGAACACAGATGAAGATCAATGATCGCATATTTGCCAGACTTTACTATCAGCAGGCATGACTTCATGTGGCAAATCAAATTGTCAATCTGGACATTGGGTGTATATACAGTCTCTGGAAGTTCCGGATGATCGCCGACGTATTCCGGCTGGGAGAGAATGCAACAAAACTTGCAAAAGTCTCAGGGAAGAACTAAGTGCTAGCCTGAAGTGAGACCTAGAAGCTTGGTGGTCACATCGTGCGTCGGAAATGGAAACAGCCGCTGCCGAGGGTAATCACTGTAAGTTATTCTGTCTGATACAGGAAAGGGGCAACAGGGGACCTGGTGTTAGCGAGATCATACGAAGCGAAAGTGGACAAACAATCCACAGCTTGTCAAAGCGCTTGGAGTGTTGGAACGAACACATCCCCAGCTCTCTTCCAATTCGGGAAACCAGCTGAGGTTGATGATTTGCACAATTTACTCGTGAAGCTGTTGGAGCAGACTGTTTCAATAGACGAGAGACGGTGCGTCATAGTAACAATTTTCAATAAAAGCTCATGTACAGAATGCGGCAATCACGGTGGAATCAGCCTGAACTCAATTGCCGCAAAATTGCTCGCGTCGATCGTTGTCCACAGACTGATTGGCACTCGTGAAAGTCAGATTCGTGGGGATCAAGTCAGGTTTTATCGAAATGGAGACTGTATCGACTGCCTTCAGTTTGCGTCAATTGTTGGAGCAGGGTCACACATATTGGTGGCCCACCGTTACCGTGTTCTCCGAAATCAAAGGTGCTTTCGATTCGGTGGATCGATGTGCTATCTGGGACTAGGTTGAGGAAAGATATGTCGGATACATATGTCCGCAATATCAGAGCGATGCGTGCGCATGGTGGAGCTAGAGCGTATGACAAACTGTCGCCGCGGTTAGGTACCTCCAGCTGTTTGAGACAATGTTGTCCGCTGTCACCTTGTCGTTCGCTGGACACGACCTACAAGGTGCGGAAATGCTCCGAGATGAACGATTTCTTGGCTTGGATTATGTTGACGACATTGATCTAATAGGCGTTAGCTTCCAAACATCCCAAGCAGCTCTGGACAGTCTAAAATTGGATGTCAATCGTTTTGGGTTTTGCTTTGCTCCCTGAAATGAAAACTTCGCGTCCAAGATTGGCAGGGAACCAACTCTGCACTGAACCTTGGTGGTGATTATTTAGAAGTCGTTGAGGAATTCAAGTATAGGGCAGCTATAGTAGCGCCCGTGGGATCGAAGAAGAGGTCACGAACCGTATAGCAAAAACTCGAGGTGCTTTTGCCAAGCTCCGCAACGTGTGGCGCAACGCGACATCACGCTCGCGTTGAATGGCAGAGTATACCATTCAGCCATCCGTTCAATCATCTTATGCAGTTGTGAAACGGCCCATCAAGTCGACAGACATAAAGAGGCTAGCAACTTTCGAAAATCGTTGCCTTCGCAGCTCAGCTCATGTCTGGTGGGAATATTGTGTAAGCGATGAGCGTGTTTACGCCGCGTATTTGGGGCCGGAATAGCGAGTGAACCGTGCAGCACCATTTTATCACGTACCAGGCTCCGATGGCTGGGCTACGTGTTGTGCAAGTCAGCACACCGACTCTCGTAATGTGCGCTGTTTGAACGCCAGGGTGCGGTTCGAAGAGGAGAAGGGGATGCCAAGCGATGGCTTGG